ACAACAATTTCAATAAAATACAACTAAAATATAAAATGGACATTACCCAGAACTACAGGAAAGTCGACTGACTGGAAATTCTACAACGAGAAGCAAGGAGAAATCCAGAAGGAAGCGCTGAGGAGCTGGAAAAGCCCAAGGTATGGAGACACGCAGCACGCTGAGAGGACAAAGCCGGAGCCGGAGAGGAGGGAGGCCGAGTGCCTGGCTGGCGTTCCCTAGTGGGAAGAAGATAAACTCCGACTGTGTTGGGCCCCAGTTCTGACTGCTCTGAATCCCAGTCCTAGGCCAGACCCCGGGGACCCAGGCTCATCCATAGGGAGCTGGGCTGTAAGGTGGAACCCCGGGGAAGGGGCCAAAAGAGGTCCCGGTGGCGCGCACATTGAGTGCAGAGAAGGAACGGCTGGCTGTGCCGCGGGATTGCCCTGGCCGGAAGGAGACAGGGGCACCAGTCTGTCTGAACGCCACCTCCAACTCCACTTCCAACTGAACTGAGCCCCAATACCGGGCTCATTGGGGGAGAGTATAGACTGTTTGGCAGCAGGCGAAAATCGAGGGCACCTTTCTCTCAGAAGCGCTTTGCAGCTAGTACTAAAAGACCCGAATAGGGTGGGGCTGACGGAAGCCAAGGCTGTAGGCTCCACCCTGAAATCCCGTCCCATCTGTAACTGCGAAATGTGACAACGAAATAGATCACAAATGAAAGAAATGGAGGACAAAAAGCAGCTGGATATAGAGTTCAAATCTACACTTATAAGGTTTTTCAAGAATTTCCTAGAAAAGATGGATAAGACCTATGAGCTATGAAAAGAGATCAACTAGAATTAATAAGGAGTCAACAAGAAATGATAAGGGATCAACAAGAAATAAAGAATACATTGTCTGAAATAAAAAATATTATACAGAATCCTAAAAACAGAATGGAAGATCGCAAGAATCAAGTCAAAGATTTGGAACATAAAGAGCCAGAAGACACTCCTCCACAGAAGCTAGAAGGCAAGAAAATCCAGAAAATTGAAGATAATGTAAGAAACCTCTGGGGCAACTTCAAGCAAACCAACATCAGAATTTGGGGGTCCCAGAAGATGAGAAAGAGCAAGATATCGAAAACATACTGAAAGAAATAGTGACAGAAAACTTCCTCCACCTGGTGAAAGAATCAGACTTACAAGTCCAGGAAGCGTACAGAACTCCAAACAAAAAGAATCTAAAGAGGACCACACCAAGACACATCATAATTAAAATTCCAAGAGCAAAAGACAAAGAGAGAATATTCAAAGCATCAAGAGCAAAGCAGGTAGTTACCTATAAAGGAGCACCTATACGATTGTCAGCTGACTTCTTAACAGAAACCATGCAGGCCAGACGGGAATGGCAAGAAATATTCAAGGTAATGAATAGTAAGAATCTACAGCCAAAGATAATCTATCCAGCAAAGCTATCACTCAGAATCGAAGGCCAGATAAAGAGTTTCACTAATAAAAAAAAAAAGCTAAAGGAGTTCATCAACACCAAACCAGAATTATATGAATTGCTGAAGGTGGTTCTTTCAGAAGAGAAAGTAAATAAAGATAAAAATTATGAACAACAAATGTGTAACTATCAACAAGTGAATCTAAAAACCAAGGAAATTTATAAACAATCTGATGAACAATATTAACTGTTGAATATAATAGAATCAGAGGTATGGAAGGGGAGTGAACTGACGATTCTTGGGGAAAAGGGGAGAGGGGGATGTGGGAAGAGACTGAACATAAACTGTGCACCTATGGATGAGGACACTGGGGAATGGGGAAGGGGCAGAGGGTGGGGTGGGAACCTGGTGGAGGAGAGCAATGGTGGGAGGGGGGGAGGAATATTTGTAATAATGTGAACAATGAAAACTTATTAAAAAAAAAAAAGAAAAAAAAAAGGAAGAGAATCATTGATAAAAAAAAGAAAAAGAAAAAGAATCCCTTTATAACTGAAAACAGGTTTCCCTTTCAGCAAATCAAAGGCAAGACATTAATTGTGCAACAGCAGGGCCCTGGAGCCAGGTGGAGCAGGATGAAGGCGGGATGCAAGGTGTTTCTCCCTATCCCCCCATAGGGAGAGAAGGGGTTCCTGCACAGCGAGCTCAGGTTCACCTGTCAGAATGTTTCTGATGCGTGCTCTAGGCACTGAGTGGTCAGACTATTATCATCTCTGAACCTCACTCTCCCCCATAGGCAGAGAAGGGGTTCCTGCACAGCGAGCTCAGGTTCACCTGTCAGAATGTTTCTGATGCGTGCTCTAGGCACTGAGTGGTCAGACTATTATCATCTCTGAACCTCACTCTCCCCCATAGGCAGAGAAGGGGTTCCTGCACAGCGAGCTCAGGTTCACCTGTCAGAATGTTTCTGATGCGTGCTCTAGGCACTGAGTGGTCAGACTATTATCATCTCTGAACGTATAATAATCTGGCCACTCAGTGTATTTGTATCTCAAATTTGTACCAAAAGTTCTAGGCTTTTGCTGGAGGTCAACCACCTATTTGCCCAGAGTTTTCTATCAGGCAGTGCAAAGGGGAAAACTGATCAGGTGCACCAGCTATAGTGTCAAATAAATGAGGTACACTGAGTGGCCAGATTATTGTGCCTTCAGAGATCATCATAATCTGGCCACTCAGTGTATATTTCTGTGTTGTTATTACTGACACATTGAGAGACACCTCTAAAACACCCATAATTTTGAAGTCGTGATGAGTGTATATTTCAAGATACCGGGACAACCATAACTAATATGATAAAGCCTCAGGCCCTGTTGATGAGGTGAGGAAGGTCACGTTAATAATGGAAGGTAGCCGAAAGTGGTTTGGCTCAGCAGTAGAGCGTCATCCTGCGGACTGAAAGGTCCCAGGTTCGATTCTGGCCAAGGGCATGTACCTTGGTTGCAGGCACATCCCCAGAAGGAGGTGTGCAAGAGGCAGCTGGTTGATGTTTCTCTCTCACCAACGTTTCTATCTCTCTATCTCTCTCCCTTCCTCTCTGTAAGAAATCAATGAAATATATTTTTAAAAAAATAATGGAAGGAAAAACAAAATTTCCAGTAGAAGGCGATGAAAATAAGGAGACAATTTTTTTCCTGGCCCAAGTTCACGGGCTCTCTGAATTTCCCGCACAGACTCCCAAGTTAAGAACCACAAGGGGCTCTCAACCAGAATTTAAAATCAAAGTACAGAAAAATAAATGTGTCTGCTGCACCTCCCACTGAAGGAAGAGGATCGGTAGGAAATCTTTGCCTGGGTGTGTGGTTCTGGCCCAGGCTTTGCAGACAGACCACCTCGGGATGAGCCTCCTTTTCCGCCCGGCGCTGCTGTGTGGCTGGGCCCAGGCCCGGTGCTCTCTGTGCCTCGGGGTCCCCTTTTGCAGGAGGTGATGATGGAAGCTGTCCTCCCAGGGCTGTTGTGAGCCGGGAGCACAGGGGGGATGGGCACATGGCAGGAATGTTGTTTGGCTGTGGAGGTTTGATAGACTGTGTGTGTGTGTGTGTGTGTGTGTGTGTGTGTGTGTGTGTGTGTTCTGTGTCACAGCACAGAACGTGTTTCTTCCTGGGGGGTCACGATTCAAAACATTTGAAGGAAGCCTTGACCCAGGAGGACTCTGGGCCTCGGACCTTGGCTTGTGAAGGGAGACGTGAAGGATGTGCAAGGCCTGGGGTCTGCATTACCTCTCCGTTGCCCCTTTAACCAGTCACCACGCTTCAGGAAAAGGGCCCTCGGCTAGCTCTGGCTCTCGCCTTTGCCCAGGTCGATCCCTCCCCTGGAATGACCTCTTCCCTTGCCTCCAACTGGCCCGTTCTCACGCGGCCTCCAGGACAGGGCTCTTCCCGGAAGGCTTCCCTGAAGCACATCCCCCCTCCCCACCTCTGGGAAGGGGCCCAGGTACCATGCCCTGCACAATCCCCTTCAACACAGATGCCACAGCCAACCGCCACCGTCTGCTCCAGTGACTGCCTCCACCCCCACGAGGGGCCTCTCCCCTGAACAGCTGGTCTCTTCTTCTTTACACCCAGGAGAGCCTGGCATGGGCGAGGGCTTGGCGAATATGTGCCCAGTGAGTGAGTGAGTGAGTGAGTGAGTGAGTGAGTGAGTGGCTCCCCTGAGGCCAGTACACTCAGAGAAGCCTAGTCCTGACCTGGGCCAGCAGAGGCCCGCTGGCTGGGCTTGGGGTGGCGAGCAGGGCTGGGGGGCATCGCTGGAGCTCAGAATCCTCTAAAATTGTGGAATCAGCCCAGGGTCGGTCCCGCACCCTCAGCAGAATCGCTGGGGCCTGGTGTGTCAGACCCACCTCCTGTGTCATCCTGCAGCTCCGTTCGCTGAGCCCTAACCCGGAGGCCAGATTCCCCACGAGCTCAGAGGGCTTGGGGGTACACCAGACCCAGGACCGCACCTGGACGCACTGTTCATGCAGCAGGAGCTTTATTTGGGGGATTCTGATTCAGCATCCGACTTGGCTATCCCAGGGCTGCCACCAGTCCAACAGCCTCAACAGGGTGATCCGTGCCCCCATCCCTGGGGACCCGGGATACTCATTTTTTGTGACATTACTTAGTTGTTCTCTTTATTATTTATATATATATATATATATATATATATATATATATATATATATATATATATATATTATTGACTTCTTACAGACAGGAAGAGAGAGGGATAGAGAGTTAGAAATATTGATGAGGAGAAACATCGATCAGCTGCTAATGCACCCCCCCATGCAACCAAGGCACATGCCTTGACCAGAATCAAACCCAGGAACCTTCAGTCTGCAGGCCGATGCTCTATCCACTGAACCAAACCAGTTTTAGCTAGTTGTTCTTTTTTTTTAATTTTTTTTTATTAATTACAGAGAGAGAGAGAGAGAGAGAGAGAGAGAGAGAGAGAGAGAGAGTGTCATCGATTTGTTGTTCCACTTATTTATGCATTCATTGGCGGATTCTTGTATTTGCCCTGAACTGTGCCAAGCCGAGACATTGCTGTATCAGCTAGTTTTTTCCTTTTCCTTATTCTGGGCTGTGGTGGGTGGTTGTGAGGGAGGTACACTTAGAGGATAGTCCCACTTAAGACCAATGCCTGTGATGCCAAGGGCCTGGATCCGGCCGAAGATTCCTGTGAGTATCTTGCCGGGGTCGCTTGGGGAGGCGGTGAAGGTGTAGCCACTTTCTTTCCCGAATGGGGCCCAGCGCCCCAAGTTGGTATAGACAACCAGGTAGCGGATGTAGATCCTGTGTGAGCCAACCAGCCCTATAATGTATTCATCTGGCCCCAGGAGGAATTCCTGGGCCCGCCCACCTGAGACGCCATATATTCTGCTCCAGTTGGAACCATATCTCAGCTGGACACTGGAAGAAAGGAGGAGATTGGAGCCTCTTCGACCCCAGACCCTCTATCCTTCACACACCCCTCCTCGCAGCCACCAGCCAGGAGAACAGCCCCATCCCTGCGACACAGGCCCCTGAGCCCAGGACTTGGGGATCCTGAAGCAGACAAGCTGTTCTGCTGCTTTCGGGTTCTGTGGTCTTGGGCTTGTTGGCCAGCCTTTCGGGCCTCAGCATCCCCATCGGCAGCATGGGAGTGGCTGTTGGGAGCTGACACTGAGATCACCCATAAGGAGAGCTCTGGGAAACGCTGGGTCACCATGACCCTGAGGCGGCGCCAGCTGTCACCCTTGCTCAGAGCAGGGAGCTGTTCCCCAGCCACGCTTGGCTTGTCTCAGTGATTCCAATCACTCCCAATAGGTCAGGTTGCAGGCCTGAGAAGCAAGTGACTTCTCACACCCCCCTGGGGGAATCCCACCAGCTTTGCTCATCTGAGTCTGTCTGTGTCCTTCTGCACACCTTCATGCCTGTCCAAGAGCCTCCTCCTCCACCGCTCCTGGCCCCATACTCTGTCCCTTTTGGTCCTGGCTGCCCTCCCCCATCCTCTCTCCCAGGTCCCTGGGACCCCTTCAGTGGAGAGCAAAGATTTCCCCCAGGCTTCAAGCAAGGACACCACCCTAACGTTAGGGGAATGGGCCTGGGCTCTGCCTCAACGGGGTCTGGAGAATTGTGTTTAAGCAGTGGTCCACTCTGACCCTCACTTCCTTCCTCTTTGACCCTAACCTCCCCCCTGACTTTCCCATCACAGAGAATTCAGACTGAAAGGCTGCTTTTAGTTGAGTTGAGTTTGGGTTGAAAGGAGCAAGGAGGGAGAAGTATTATTTATCCCTCTATTGAGATCAACCGAAGAAGCAGTGTCTGCACTTGCAGGTGGAGACAGAGGGAAGTGGGACGGGTGTGCAGGAGAGGAGGTGGCTGAGGAAAAGGGACAAGAAAAAAGGCTATGGCTGGAGGCTGTGTGACTCCAAACTGGCCTTGGGGAGTCTTCAGGAGCCTCGCAAAGATGTTAAAGAAGAGTTGCTAAACCTCCTTCCCCACGTTCTCAAGACCGTGACATGCGTTAGGACAAAGATTGGACCCTGTTCCCTGCCCATACTCACCTCCTAATTATGCCTATAGGACTTACGGACACCCGGATCCCAGATATGTCATTTGTATTGTCTGGAGTGGAGCTGAAGTATGTGCCTCTTGCATTCCCATACATCTCTAGGTGGACAAAAAGAGCCAGTTGAGGGAGGGAGAGAAAATGACACGGTACCATATCGGTTATCTTTTTGCAGAACTGATGAAGTCCCTCCAGGCCAAGGGGACGGTCCTGAGACAGAATCAGTCCAGGGCTGAGCTCAGGCCCAGGGGGTGGGCTGGAGGGAGGCAGACCCAGCCAGACTCACGATCTGCCCAGCAGGCGGTGCTACACAGGACAGCGAGGGTCAGCCACAGCAGCATGGTTTCTGCCTCCTGAGTCCCAAGGATCCTGGAAAGAAGGGAAGAGGCCACCAGGTGCTTAGAGAGGGGCCCTGATTGACCCTGTCCGCCCCATCCACAGGAGGGGAGCACCGCCCTACCTGTCCAGGAAAGTCTTGTCAGCCGGTTCTGGCACAGAAGAGTCTTGCACCTGGGCACCCTCCACCGGGCCTTTTATACCCCAGGCCGTGTGGGCCCCCATCCAGAAGGAAGCAGAAGTAGGGGACACCTTCAAGACAGACTGGTGGGGGCTCTTCCTGGAGGAGGCTCCCGGACGGACGTATCGTGTTTGTTGTCTTGGCCCCGGAGTCTAGGCAAACAAAGTGGGGCGTGGATTGTGCTGTCACCTCTGAGCACCTGAACTAGACCTTGACTTCGGAGGTGTGGGGAGCTTGCTGACAGCCCTTTCCATTTTGGCTCAACAGTTTTCAGCCCCACGAAGGGCCACAGGGGGAATGTCTACAGAAGGTTCATGGGTCCCAGGGCTCCTGCCTTGTGCACAGTTGTGTTGAGGGCCTCATTCAGCTCTGGGCAGAGCCCATGGTCCCTTGGGGTTTCAGGAGTCCAAGCGCCCCTCCAGAGAGCCGGACAGGACAATCGTGTTCTTTGTGTCTGGTGGGAGGGGTTGGCCTCCCAGGGTCTGTCACTTGGAAGGTGTCTGTGATCTTCCCTCGGTGCCAGGTCTGAGAGTAGCCGGGGATGAAACAGCCTTGACGGGGTGTGGGGTGATGATCAGCAAAGGTGACATGACAGGAGAGCCCTGGAGTTCAAGCCAGTTACAGTCCCAGGCCTGTACTTGCCCGCTTCTTCTTTTCAACATGACAGATGCCTCCATGTCCTTTGCCAAGGACTTCCTGGCAGGTGGAGTGACCACAGCCATCTCCAAGGTCGCGGTAGCACCCATCGAGCGGGTCAAACTGCTGCTGCAGGTGCAGCTTGCCACCAAGCAAACCACTGCAGATAAGCAATACAAGGGCATTACAGACTGTGTGGTCCATATCTCCAAGGAGCAAGGAGCCCTGTTCTTCTGGCCTGGTGACCTGGCCAATGTCATCAGACACTTCCCCACCCAGAATCTCCACTTTGCCTTCAAAGATAAATACAAGTAAATCTTTCTGGTTGGTGTGGACAAGAGAGCCCAGTCTTGACGATACTTTGCAGGGAATCTGGCATCAAGTGGTGCCACTGGGGCTGTCTCCTTGTGTTCTGTGTATCCTCTTGATTTGGCCCATACCCGTATCTAGCAGCTGATGTGAGTAAAGCCGGAGCTGAAAGGGAATTCAAAGGCCTCGGTGACTGCCTGGTTAAGATCTACAAATCTGACGAGCTTAGAGGCCTATACCAAAGCTTTAATTTGTTGGTACAGGGTATTATCATCTACCAAGCTGCCTACTGTGGTGTCTATGATACTGCAGAGGGAATGCTTCCAGATCCCAAGAACACTCACATCTTCATCAGCTGGACGATGGCCCAGTCTGTCACAGCTGTGGCTGGGTTGACTTCCTATCCATTTGACATTATTCGTTGCCGCATGATGATGCAATCAGGGCGCAAGGGAAGTGATATCATGTACACAGGCACACTTGACTGCTAGGGGAAGATTGCTGGTGATGAAGGAGGCAAAGCTTTTTTCAAGAGTGCATGGCCCAATGTTCTCAGAGGCATAGGTGGTGCTTTTGTTTTTGTCTCATGTGATGAAATCAAGAAGTTCACATAAATTATTTCCTAGTCTTCCCTTCCCCAGACCCCGTGAACAGGGATGTTATATCATGTACCATTTCTTGAGCATTCTTGACAGATTTTTGGTTGTCTGTTTATCAGGGGCAACTATTTTACTGGTTGAAAATGGGAAGCTATAATATTCATCTGACCAGTTTTCTCTTAAAGCCATTTCCATGATGATAATGGGACTCAATTATAATTTTTATTTCAGTAATTCCTGATAATGAATTTAAAGAAATAAAAAATATCTGAAATATATATAAAAATAAATAAATAAATAAATAAATAAATAAATAAATAAATAAATAAATAAATAAAGGTGACATGACAGGAGGCACAGAAGATTGGGAAGAGGTGAGCCACCAGGCCAGCCCACCCGAGCGAGAGGGCCTGGGGCCAGGCCAAGGGCTCAGACTTCATCTGGAGGTAAGAGGTTCCCTTCAAGGGTTCTGGGGATCCCGCTGGTGCAGCAGGTCTCGGCTGTGTGTGAGGGCTGGTACCATGGCTGTCTACAGGGCCTCCCCAACCTTTTGGAAGAGCCATCGGGTCATAGTAATCAAGATAGGGGCTGATACCCTGGCCAGGATGGCTCAGTTGGTTTGGCATTGCCCCATGCACCCGAGGTTTGCTGGTTTGATTCCTCATCAAGGCACAGGCCCAGGTTGCAGCAGTATCCATTTTGAGTTTATTTTTGTATATAGTGTAAGTTGGTGATCTAGTTTCATTCTTTTGCATGTATCTGTCCAATTTTCCCAACACCATTTATTGAAGAGACTGTCTTGACTCCATTGTATGTTTCTGCCTCCTTTGTCAAATATTAATTGAGCATAGTGATTGGGGTTGATATCTGGATTCTCTATTCTATTCCATTGATCTATATGTCTGTTCTTGTGCCAGTACCAGGCTGTTTGGAGAGCAGTGGCTTTGTAATACAGCTTGAAACCTGGTATTGAGATCCCTCCTACTTTACTGTTCTTTCTCAGGATTGTTGTGGCTATTCGGGGTCTTTTATTGTTTCAAATGAATTTTTGGAGAGTTCTTTCTAGGTCAGTGAAATAGCCCCTTGAGTTTTTGGCAAAGACCAGCTAAGGAGTACCCAAATTAAGATAATAACAATGTACCTAGCTATATAGTTTAAGTTTTAAAAATTTGGCTCTCAAAAGAAATTTTGATCATTGTGTTGTTGATATTTGGCTCTGTTGACTAATGAGTTTGCGGATCACTGGGTTAGGAGATTCACTTGCAGAATGAAGGGTTTCAGGTTCAATTCCTGGTCAAGGGCATGTACCTTGGTCGCAGGTTTCCCCAGTCCCAATAGGTGTGCATGTAGGAGGCAACCAATTGATGTGTCTCTCTATCTCCCTCTCCCCTTCTCCTCCTTCTCTCTTGAAATCAATGTTGAAAATACCTTTGGGTGAGGATTAAAAAAAAAAAAAAAGGCACACACTACTGAAATACAGATAACATAGGTGAATCTCAAAATGATAATGTTGAATAAAAAAAAATTCAGACACAAAAGAGGATATATCATATATAACTTCCTTTATATGAAATTTTCAAAAAGGAAGAGAGAGAGCAAGATACTGAAAACATACTGAAAGAAATAATGACAGAAAACTTCCCCCACCTGGTGAAATAATTAGACCTACAAGTCCAGGAAGCGCACAGAACCCCAAACAAAAGGAATTCAACGGGGACCACACCAAGACACATCATAATTAAAATTCCAAGAACAAAAGACAAAGAGAGAATATTAAAAGAAGCAAAAGAGAAACAGGTAGTCACCTATAAAGGAGCATCCATATGATTGTCAGCCGATTTCTCAGCAGAAACCATGCAGGTCAGACAGGAATGGCAAGAAATATTCAAGGTGATGAATAGCAAGAACCTACAACCAAAATTACTCTACTCAGCAAAGCTATCACTCAGAATCGAAGGCCAGATAAAGAGCTTCACTAATAAAATAAAAATAAAAAAAGTAAAGGAGTTCATCACCGACAAACCATAATTATATGAATTATGGTTTAGGGGGGTTGAAGGGGGTTCTTTAGGAAGAGAAAGAAAATAAAGATAAAAATTACGAACAAGAAATACATAACTATCAACAAGTGAATCTAAAAACCAAGGGAATTAAAAACCTGATGAACAATATTAACTGTTGAATATAATAGAATCAGAGGTATGGAAGGGGAGTGGACTGATGATTCTCAAGGAAAAGAGGAGTGAGGGGTGTGGGAAGAGACTGAACATAAACTGTGCACCTATGGATGAGGACAATGTGGGGTGGAGAAAGGGCAGAGGTTGGGGTAGGAACCTTGTGGAGGGGAAACAAAATGAGGAACTTTTGTAATAATATGAACAATAAAGGTTTATTTTAAAAAATACAGGAAAATTCAGAGAGAATGCAGTTGAATATCAAAACTCTATAGAGATAACATGATCTACCTTTAGAAGGAGTAGACAAAGCCATAAAGGTTGGGAAGCCTAGTCCACGTGCGTGCTCCATCAGTGGCCTTATTGAAAGTCCTAGGACAGGGCAGCAGAACAGATTTTTAAAATATATATATATATATTATTGATTTTTTTACAGAAAGGGAGAGAGAGGGATAGAGTTAGAAACATCGATGAGAGAGAAACATCAACCAGCTGCCTCCTGCAAACCAGCTACTGGGGATGTGCCCGCAACCAATGTTAATCAAACCTGGGACCTTTCAGTCCGCAGACCGATACTCTATCCACTGAGCCAAACTGGTTTTGGCAGAACAGATCTTTTAAGTCCTGAATCTAAAGAGAACATAAGCCAATTCACCCAAAGGAGAAAAGGACAGGGCTTGTCTCAAACATTCTCATTGGCTGGCCTTCGGCTCTGGACAGTTGCTTCTGTGTCTCCAATCCCTTGGGGGTCATCCCAGGCAGGACCTGTTTGCTATCTTCCTCCTCACATGCCCAGGGCTCTGCAAACACCCCTTGGCGTTGGAACATTCTTTGCCTTGGTTGGTCAATGCAACTGTTCTCCTTAACCCTCATTGGCTCTTCCTATGTCCCATGGGGCTCACTTTTTTGAGGCACCTGTGGATAGGAACACAAACACTGAGCACCCCTCCAGGACACCCCAAATGGAATCCACATGCACTGGTAGTGCATGTGGCGGGATGATGACTGAGCATAAAGGCAATGGCTGAAAGACCCAGGCCAAACGGAGCAGGTTTGAGGGGGATTGGGGGCTGGAAGGGAAGGGGAGGCAAAAGTTGACCTGCCTG